TCTAACTGTTCCCATAATTTCAGTTGATATCTAGGGATGCGTGTTGACCTGCCTTCCAACCCAACTCTCTGCTTCTTCTAATCCCTGATTCCCTTTCCTTTCTGCCCCTGTGTGTGTCTACAGGAAGACAAATACCGTATGACTTACCGTCACTTCCACGTTGACCATCACGTCCAGGATATCCAGCAGGTCCTTTCTGTCCTTGTGGTCCTGGTTCTCCTTTGTCTCCCGTTGGTCCCTTGCCTCCACGAGTACCATCTCTACCCGGAACTCCTGGTTCACCCACCTTTCCAGGCTTACCACTCTCGCCAGGAATGCCAGGCTGGCCTGAAGAAAAAATTTCAGATCAAAGTAATGGTCTGCAGTGTACGGAAATTTACCAGGATATCCTTCTCTGCCTGGTTCACCGACTCGTCCCACAGGTCCTGGAGCTCCTTCTTCGCCTATTGGTCCAGGCTCACCAGGTGGTCCTGTTGGACCACGAGGTCCATGTGGGCAGACACGGCAGCCCTGCTGCTGAAGTAATAAAAGAAATGAGTTAAGATTCTCTTAGAGTTTGAGGTAATCTTATTTTCGAAGGCTGAGTTACCGAATCGATAGTAACAGGGGGAGCAATGCCTGCTAGTCCGGGTGCTCCTGGTTTTCCTGGTGATCCTGGTTCTCCGTCTAGTCCCTAAAAACATGCTGTGATTTCAATATGACGAGAATAAGGGGCTTCAGAGAGATGGTCGCTTACAGGTTTCCCCGGTCGTCCAGGGGGTCCTGGTGGGCACTTGTTGTTGGCTTGGCAATCTGAAAAATAATGGGAGCTGTATTTTGGCAGGTTTTCAGAAATTTCGAAGAAAAGCAAGCTTACTGCATGTCGGATTCGCCTCAACGAAGGCATCTTGAGACTTTACATATGAAGAATGCAAGGGATAAGTCTTCTTCGGTGTACTGCCAGAACTAGCATAAGCCTAAATAAAGTGTAATGGTCGATGTTGACAAAACGTCATTGACTACAATTTCTTTTCAACGTTAATTTTTTAAAAACTTTGAGGATTTCGACAGATCCGTGCAGCCAATAGGTTATGAATTTTGTTCAAACACATAAATGGACAATCGATGTATATGTTTTTCATTTAGCATTCATCGACTGCACGCGAAGATAAAGGCTATTTTTGAGGACGTTCCAATACCGGACAATACTCCTACCCCTAAGCAGCCCTATTCTGGAAAGACAGAGCAAATAAGTGCATTCAATTTTGAATCAGATTGAATGGTCCTGTGATGCTGTTGGAGCCGACTGAAGCAACAACCTGGCTCATATAGGTAGTGTCGAAAAGGTTCGTGGTGTTCACAGGGAGAGTAGGTTGGCGATGTGTCCACAAAATGGGTAAAGAGACAGCACTGTACATACAATGGTTTTTTGCGAGGGATATAGGCTATAACAAGCGAAAGCGGGAACACAAGCTCCAAAATTATCCAAAGGTTTGTCATCAGCATCTTTTCCACGCTTACCTCCCCCCAACGATGGTGATGATATTTGATTTTCTAGAAGTTGAATAGGTATCGAAGAGCGAAAAAGGTGACCACAAATTTTAAGGGGTATGCTAAGGATTTATGCTTGTTTCTAAGATAAAGTCGTTCTGCATTAATTTTATAAGATTTTAATAAAACCTGTTGCCAAGATGGTAAATAAATTGTTATCAACTTACGTTTCTTTAGGTATATCTTCTCTAGGTATATTCTTTAGGTAAAGATATCTTTAGGTTTCCAACTCTGAAGAAGGCGATAACGCCGAAACGTAAGTTGATAACAATTTATTTACCATCTTGGCAACAGGTTTTATTAAAATCTTATAAACTTAATGCAAAGCTATGCCAAGACTTATCGAGAGTCGAACATGGACGCTTATGAAAGTCGTTTTATTCGTATTAGTTCTAAACAAATGTTATCGTAACCTCATAGATTGTAAACAATCGGCAACACACGTAGCTGATTTTCAGAGCAGATTAGCTGCTTTTACACTCATTGAAGGAACCGGTTCCTGACCCATGTCCGGTTTTCTGAGATGATTTCATTTGTATTCGGCTACTCTCTATGACCTTGAAATCCCAACACCACAATGGTGGCGACACCGGTTCAATCTGCACTCTTGCAATAATTAGTTGGCAATTTTTGCTTCGAAACAGAAAGAATCGACACTCGGAATATTGAATTTGAACGAAAAAAAAAGAACAAAAATAAGTTTCCTTGATGAGGAATTAATAAATTTCCTTCGAGAAAAGTGAGCGAGAAGAGAGTATATTCGGCTCTCAGTTAATCCTGGCATTGTTTAGAGATCTTCTAAATGTATGAGCCTCTATTTTGTCGTTAAAAGGACAGGAATTCCAGCCGAATTATTCGCAAATGTGATCAAAGCTCTGAAAAAATGTTTAGGAGATCACCTCGATAGAATTACATATTGAGTACTTCCACCCCTCTCGAAGCCCATTCCTGCAGTGTGCTTTAAAAATTCAGTTTGAACAGACAGTGATCACAGAAACTACAGTAATCCGTCCCATAGATCAGAAGCCACAGAATAATTTGTTTAAAGCCCTTAGATTCCAGCGCTTATACTATGTATACTGAATCGGCATCGTCTATTAAATCAGTAACGTGTATGGAGTGCAGTATTTTTATTTGGGCACAATTTTGAAACCTTCACTGCTACAATTGAATGGCGCAATATCTTCCTACCTTTTTATTCTTTTTTTTTCTTTCTAATTGGAATTCCATTCAGAATAGAAGCAGAAAGCTGTGACAATGTCCTCAAATTTGAGTCCTTCTTTATTTTTGTTGCTGTTATTTCTTACCTTTTCTTATGTTTATATGGTTGTTTATGTTTTGCATTCCGTACTGTGCATTATTTCTATTTGTTTATCTGGACTATGTACCTGTCTTCTAATCCTTTCCAGTCCACCAACACGAGCTTTGGTGAGTTCGGTCCACGTCAGATCAGCCATAACGCGAAACTCGTCAGAATCTATTCGCAGCTGAAAAAAGCTTCCGATCTCACCTTATGTTAGATTAGTCTATCTTGAGGTGGAAAAAGATAGGAAGTTTTCAAAAAATGCCTAACAATCCGTTTAGGTGACTGAACTTTGTGGTCTGAATGGGGAGGTGAATTGTTGTAGATGTCTGGAGACAGGGTTCAGACCTCCTATGATACCTTCCATTTACAACCACCCCTTTTGCCTGACCTTTTTCAGATATTGCTGGTCATCATTACCCATTCCATCTTTGTCAAGCCATGGATCTTTCAATCAGAATGAGTCCCCTTGTTTGTGGAAGGATGTCTGTTGTATTGAGCTCTTCGTTCTTAGATAAACTAGTACTCACAGATGCATGGTTTGTCCTGAGGAGGGATGCCAACGCCGCAACCCCCATTTTTCGATACAACTGAAGGTACATACCTGATCGTTGATATTCTGAATTTTCATCACCAGAGCAGGGACGTAGAATAAGCAGACCAACAGAGCACCTGTTGAACAGGCACAGGCCATTAAGCCTGCGTTTCGAGCGGAGAACATCTGAAATGCGGACAGGTTCAGGGCCACCGTCGAGACCGTCGCTTATGTACAGTAATGAATCGACGAAAAAGAAAACTGGCCGTCAAAATATAAAATGGAAACGAGGTGGTCGGCGATGCATGAAATTCCTAAGAATGCAGAAATTTTGAAAATAATTTAAATGGCGGTGCATTGCTTTTTCGGGACGTCTCAGCATAGAACAAGTTTCCTACTCTACTCTTCTTCAGTCACTTTCATTCGACGAAGACCTGGCTCAACAGATGTCGACAGCAGCCATCTTCAATTTCCACTATCATCTACTAGAGAAAAAACCAACTGACTGGTAGGTCGGAGTTACCTAACATACTATGAAAGGTAAAGCAGAACAATCAGACGAGCTCCAACTGATGCCTCGAATGTCGATGCTCCTCCCAGGCTGCGCCATGCATTGAGACTATAACAGAAACTGCTTCATTGTTTCCTAGTCTACTCTGTCACTTGGCATCCGAATGTGGCCCCAGAAGAGATTGGTGGCTCTATGACAGTTACGGTGAATGGCTCAGAGCTGGAGATATCTTGGCGTAGAGCATAAAAATTGCCGTTTTGCCATTTTTGTTGACGTTCCCTAGCAAGAATAGTACATGGAATGGAAACAAGCATCTAGTCGGCATTCCTTAGTCTCCCCAATTAACGCGATGACGAAGAGGCGAGAGATATGATGACGAAGCTGTAGACATGCAACCTATTAATGGCATCAGATCTTACTTGAAGTTTGTTTACGTCAAGGTGGCCGATGCCCATTCATAAGGCATCTTATGACTTTTCTGCACGAAACCTCCTCCGCATTATGTCATCATTTTCCTTGACCGACGACTTGTTCTTGCTTTGTATCTTATTATTTTGTTATAATACATATATACTCGTTCTGCTTTGTTAGCATCATCATGGAAAGTTAGTTCAGTGGGCCTCAGCACTTCACTTTTCGGTTTGCCGTATGCCAGGCTGAGTACAAAGATATTAAAAAATGACAAAAATAATTTGAGTTGGTGAAATTCGCTTGGATGTGCCACTCATTGGAGCCTCTTTCCAGAGAGGTCATGCAAAGGGATCCGGCATTGGACATGATCACTACAAC